GCTGTGGCCGATTGGCTATTTCATTTGTCTTGCGCGGCCTCGGAAAGCAACACTGCGCGATGCTTGAGTAGAGGGGCGGAGGGAACTGGGATGAGCTGGGCTAGGGTGCCGAGGAGGCGTGTTGGGAGCTGATGGCCGGGTGGCAGTGTGGCTCCAAAGCGTGCACTCGCCAAACAGTATTAGAGCTTGGTTTGGAGAGAGCCGGAAGATGGGGTCCGGCTGCTTGGTAGGCCCTGATGGCAGGAGGGCTGTACAGTCTAGCAGAGTAATAGAAGGAGCAGTTTATTAAGATCTGCCTTTGCCTGAGGATTAGATTCAGCTGGAGTCTCTGGAGATGAAGCAAGACAGGAGTAGCACAGTTAGATGGCATTCAGCAAGAAGGCTGGCACACAGGAACTTTGTAGGCTTCAACGGCGCTGCACATACCAGAACCTAGCCCAGACTTTGGGCACGGTCTTCTGTACTGAGTGACTGGCCAGACAAGTCCTTTCCTTTCTTCGTGTGTATCATAAGGTGACAATTCTGTCACAGTAGAAGAGGAACTCCAGCTCTCCTTTAAAAGATAATGCTCGTCAAATTCAGCTCATCCCTGTTCAGCACCAGACCTGGGTTCCCTAGTAACTTCTGACCCAGGCATTGCAAGCCCTCATGACAAGACCCTTGGTCTACCTTTTGCAATGATTTAGGATATTCTGCCTTGTTTTACAAGTCCCTCTCTTTCCTACCCTGTCCAAACTCGACATGGGGTCTTGAACTGAAGTCGACTCCTGTGCCCACCTGCCTAGTGCACCTCTTAATGATGCCCAGCCTTCCTTAGAAAAGTGTGTATTCTTGGTGTTCAACAGATACAATGCTCACTGATTGAACTTTAATGCCAGGGCAGCTGTGAAGAGTGCAGTCAGGATGACTGCTTTGTATGTTAACCTGAGAAACGAGTTTTTACAATAACACTCATGAGCAACTCTGTTTTGTGTTTTGTTTTTGTTTTTGAGAAAATAAGATCAGTTATTTAAAAGGGAGTAACTTTTAAATTTCATTAAGCACTTCAAGACCCACCTACCCCAATTTCACCGACCTTTAGGGTAGCCTAGAGTAGCAATTTTTCTCTTTGTTTTGTTTTTTTGAGACTGGGTTTCTCTGTGTAGCAGCTTTGGCTGTCCTGAAACTTGCTTTGTAGACCAGGCTGGCCTTGAACTCAGGTCTTCTGCCTCTCAAGTGCTGGGACTAAAGGTGTGTGCCACTACTGCCCAGCGAGTGTTGGATTTTCTTTTCCCCATTTTACAGATGAAGAAACCAGCATTCAAAAACATTAAGAAACACCGCTATAGAAGACTAAGCCAAAATAAAAAAATAAAAAAAAAAAGCTCTTGGGGCTGGAGGTGTGTTTCTGTGACAGAATGTTTCCAGTTGGGAGTAGGGTGTGCATTACAACCACTTAAATCTCTTTTCTCTGTAGCCCAGTAGACTGAAATTAGCATGAGTTGGCTGTTGATTCTTTCTTACCCACTTGCATTTTCAAGAATAAATGTTTGGGCTTGGATGGTACCCTGGGTTTTGCTTTCCTTTGAGCTTTGTAACTACCAAAGAGCTTTGCCTCAGTTCATCTTAGAGCCTGGAGGTTTCCCTGAGTTGGCCAAGCTTTCTCAGCAAATCTGGGTTTTGAAAAGCCAGTGATAAGTAAGGGCAGCCCTTGGGCTAGTTTTCTTCCTCTACACATTGGAGATGGTTTTAGCAGTGGCTTTGCAGAGGTTTGTTTTATGACTGTCAAGTCCCTACTCTGGTGTTTGTTTCACAGGAAAGATCTCATGTTCTTAGGAATGGCCTGATATGAAAGAGTCATACCTCCAGCTTTCCCAAGCTGCTCTGTGGGTGCCTTGTCCTTCAAGTGCAGGAGCTGGCTGAACTATCGGGAATGGAAGCCAATGTGGTAAGGAGTCCAAGGCAGGGGGCTTAGAGAGCTGAACTATACAAGGCCCTGAGATGCCAGTTCATTTTTTATTTTCACTGAAGCTCTGGAATTTGAGCAGCTGTCATCCTACTTCCTTTTTGGTACACTTCCTGAGTCCATGTTTTTATTTTTTTGTGCAAAAGAACATGAGGGAACCAGAACAGTCCATACCCCCAGCTAATTCCAGTTCCTTCTCTGAACCCTCCCAGCCACTGACTTTAGCTGCACCAGCTGTAGAAACCGGCCCTTACAATTGACTTGACTCACCTCTAGAGGAGGGAAGGCAAGAAACAGTAGTTAGACTCACTCTGAGGTTTTTGGGTTGTCCATCTCTTCCCTAGACTATCCCAATCTGGCAAAACAAGCCACATGGGGCTGCTCGGAGTGTGGTAAGAAGAATTGGGACCAATCTACCCCTGAAACCTTGTCCCCGGGCATCCTTTGAGGTGAGTGTACTGGAAGGATAAGGAAAGGAAAGACTCAGTATGGAATGTGGATGCTACTTCTGTGCAGAAGACATCTTGTTAGTTGCCAAGGCTTTTGCCTACTTTCCTGGTCACTCATTTCCTAAGTGCTTATATAAATAGATCCTGGTCATTGTGCCTTTCTGATTGTGTACA